CTTTTCCTGTTTGTGTGGATACAGATTGTCCGACAGACTCGCGTCCGGCATACTTGCGTCAAATCCCGACATCTTGCACGATCAAATTCCGATCGCACGTGTCGAAAACCTTGTACTTGAATAGTTTTGTTTGGAACGTAAAAACTCATATTTCGTCATATCCCAACATGAGGTGACGGATACGCCCATCGGTAGAAACTTTGTTTTCAATCTTCTATTTATATTATAGATCAATTTTTATCGTTTCAGTGTCACTTATGGTAGCATACCCCTGTAAGAAACTGATAACAACTGCCATAGTTGCTAGTAGTAGGTGTCACTTCACCTTTGGAATATAATCATTGCCTCAATTCCGTGCGTCAAGGCCTTATTCATTGTTTTCTCGTCAGAATAAACCCATCCCCTGTGACCATACGGTAGTAAACTGTCGTAGCGCGGCCTTATGGTGGCAACTTGGCCATCAAGGAACCCAGCAAGAGTTTGCCTCTGTTTTTGCCTTTGCATCTTACTCAAAAAACGGTGGATTATTGCATTTCTTCAATCATGTAATACACATGTAGTCTCTTTGGCGGCGAGCTTGAGCCTGGATTTGGTCCTTCCTCACCTTGCTTGATTCCCAAAATATTGAGTCCGTTGACGACGCAAAATCTGACTACCATCATCAATGACGTCAACTGCTACGCTGCATATCTTGAAATGTTCGTGACCTCAAATTCAGAGTGTGATAAATCTCCGATTTCTGATTGGATCTGCGATATGAAGGCACAGATGATGTTATTAGTCGAACGTCATTTCAAAAGTTTCAGAGGCATCGGTCAACATACATCAAACAATCATTGTTACCTTGTTCAAAATCCGTCAAAATCCTGGCTAGAGCCAGGATCATAGAGTATATATTCTTGCGACGGTATGCATGAGGCCAGTGCTATGTTGTAAAGACACTTTATTGCAATCCTGTTGCTTTCTCCTCTTTTCTTTTCTTTTCTCTTCGTTTTCTTTTCTTTTTCTTCCTCTTCCCCCTTCTTTTTCCACGGGGGATCTAGTCTGCAAAGTGGCCCGTCTTCTTTTCCCCGGGCAGCTTTGCTTACTACTTTGCGTGTGTGAGATGTACGGTGGGGTTTGGTGTTCGGGTGTCAACAATTAAGCTATTTATTTAGTCTGCAAAGTGGCCCGTCTTCTTTTCCCCGGGCAGCTTTGCTTACTACTTTGTGTGCACGTGAAAACAGATGTACGGTGGGGTTTGGTGTTCGGGTGTCAACAATTAAGCTATTTATTTAGTATACATTTTCGTGTAGCTCCGTGTTGCACTACGGCCGATTCAATTGACCAAATGTTCGACTCAGTCGACTTTCTATTTCTTCTATTTTAGCCTTTACGGCACGTTATGGTCTGCTTTTCGCACCGTTTGCAGACCCTACCCTTTATTCATTTTCGTGTAGCTCCATGCCGCACCATGTCGCAGTTGACGACATAAATTCATGTTCCTTTTTTGGCCGACTCAATGGACCGTCTGTTCAACTGAGTCGACTTCTGTTTCTTCTGTTCTCTAGCCTTTACGGCACGTTATGTCTGCTTCTCCCACCAGTTGCAGACCCTACCTTGTACACTTATATAAATAGTTGCACCAGCATAGTATAAAAGCCTCGACCGTACATGTGTACGCCAAATGTAGTAGTCAATGTGATCGAACTTTTGCCACACAGAATTTCGTCAGTTTTGGCACCCGGGACTCGATTGAAGGGTCGAACCGGTCAAACATGATGTCTTGATGCTGGTATTGTACAGTAGGTAGGTTTACCTGGTTCTGTACGAGTAAAGTAGCGTAGTCGACACAATGCCGTGGCCATGAAAACAGAAATATACGATGCTTGCCACTTTTTAAAAATATCAGTTGTTAGTATCAAGAGGACCTGCAGCGTTTTCAGTGCAGAAATTCTTAATTTTAAAAAAAATCATACAAGTTGCATTTGAGGGGGATCTGGCTCCGCCAGCACAATCGGCCGGCTCTTTGATCGTCTTCCTCTACTTCGGCTTCGACTCGAACTCCTGCTCCGACTTCGACGCCGTGATCTTCCTCGCTGTGGTCTCGTTTTTCTTTGTTTGTGTTTTGGGGTCGAAATCAGCATTTGAATAATGGAAAGAATTGGTGACGCGTTGCTATCATCATCGTCGTTATAGTCGTCCCGTCTACTCTTTCCTCTTCTTCCACTTCTACGACTTGATGGCCTCGAACCCAATTTCATGAGTTTTTGCGGTGCGTTCTTTCCTTTCTCTTCCGAATCCATTTGTTTGTAGTCAGCTCCTTCTTCCGGGGGGACACTAGACGAATCATCGTAGTCGTCAGTACCATCTCGAAGTCTTCGTCGTGACTTGACGTACTCTCTTGCAATAAACCAAATAAGGAAGATCCCAAAAACAGTGGAAAGCTTCGGATGGGGGAACGAGGATTGCGAGCGAGATTGCCTGGTGCTGGTAGTAGTAGCTTCGGAGCAACAACTTGCTCTATACTCATTGGCTTTACTGTAGCACTGTGTGGGGTTGGCATGTTTGTTCAAGCTTTGAAGGTCATAGTAAATGCCTTTGCAAGTTACTGTGGGCCAACTGGAGAGCTTTTTCCTTGGCTTTGGAGGATACTCTCCATTGTAACAAAGATCACAAGCAACGAACGTCATATTATATGTGTTCTGGCTGGAGTAGCTGCGTTGGTTGCCATGATCGTCTGAGGAGTCATGACTGTCCTGACTGCCAGAGCCAGAGCCAGAGCCAGAAGAGAGATGTCTCATGTCTTCGTGGTTTTTCTGATGAGGAGGAATTGTGGGAGGTGGGAGGTTTTCTTCTTTGTGTGTAACTGTACGGTAACAAAATTGTGAGGAAATCAAAATTGAATTTATATATATCCACAGATACGAAGGTTTGGATATTTATTACCTTAACGGTCTGAATCAATTCATCCTGTATCGGATGAATCGACTTTTTTGACCACCTAACTTCAAACTCCGCCGCAGAAATGAAGCAATCAGTGGTTGCGTGCCTCCCGAACGAAATGCGAACTGGCAAAGTGGCAGCGGAAGATACCGTGGATCTAATGACCATGGATCCAGGGCAACACAGGAGTTGGCGGGTGGCACTATACTACTGCTATATCGATCTATCCAATGTGCCAGATCACGTCGAATTTCATCGTCACCTGTGCAAAAATCTCTCACTGAAAGGGAGAATACGAGTCTCTTCAGATGGATTGAATGGGGTGCTGACAGGACAGCTTGTCGATTTGAAGCAGTATGAAGACAAAGTATTGAAGCAATTACTGGAGCTCGGTACTCATCAATCACAAAGCAACATGATAGATTTGAATACCAAGTACTGCTTCTTGCGAGAAGATTTGCCGAGTAAGTCATCACATGGAATCGATCATTCCGATTGGTATATGTACAGCCACCAAGAGTGTTGCTGACGAGAGTGTGTTCTTTCGATGTGCAGTTCTACCACAGTTATTTGACAAACTCATCTGCAAGGAAACCAGTAGTGTCATTTGTTTATTTGACAATTACCAGCCGGCAGGAACGGCTGCCTCTTCCACAAAAGAGAATAGAAACCGCCGTTCGAAGCAGAACAATCGAAGGGTGCGGAGGAAGAAGCAGCGTCAAGAGGAAAAGAAACACCAGAGCGACAAAGATATATCGGAGGAACGGGCTACATTGGTGGCTGAGCTCCCTCGTATTCAAAACGCAATGATGACGCTCTCACCGTCACAGCACCTGACAACCGAAGAATGGAACGACAAACTTCAAAACGCGGACGGAGAGAATGCCCTGCTCTTGGACGTTCGCAATGTATATGAAAGCAGAGTTGGGCATTTCTCGGTCTCAAATGTTCCAACACTACTCACAAATACACGCAAGTATTCCGACTTGCCAGAGCTCTTGGCAGAAAATCCGAATATGAAGGACAAGGAGGAAGTCTTCATGTATTGCACAGGCGGAGTTCGTTGCGAACGGGTTTCCATGATGATGCAAGCCATGTATCCACAAACAAAAGTGTATCAACTCAAGGGTGGTATTCAAACATATTTGCAAGAGTCAAATAACAAGCAGATGTGCCTATTCAAGGGAAAGAATTTTGTCTTTGATCCTCGGCGGACAGATCCAGTACATCTTGGTGAAACAGTGGGACGGTGTTTGATCTGTGAGGCCCCACACGATGACTATGATAACGGCCATGCTCCAAGTGAAAACAAAGAAGCCAGATGCAATACTTGTCGCATGCTTGTTCTGATTTGCAATCAATGTAGGCCAGGCTATTTGTGCTGGGGTGAATCCGAAAGAGAAGATACGAAATCTGACGGCGCTGGCTTGGAAGGAAACAGATCAAAAGAAACGAGACCTTGGCTATACTGTGCTATTGACAGGTGTGTTCATGAAGGAGCCAAGCCCCAACCAGAATTGCTGAAGTAAGTAGAGCATGAAATCCACTCACAATCGCAATATAACGCGACATTTAGTTTGCCCAAACCAGCGATAACGTCATTTGCAAATGGCCCTCGGGACTTTGAACTATCTCTCTGCGTTGAAGAGACAACAATGATTATGATTTACTTTTTTTGTGGCCTGTAGCATCAATCCTGGAAAACCTTGCTTCTGGACTTTCTTGTTCCTATGCAGTTTTATCATATATCCATATTTGATCTACCGAAACCTGAACGATGACCATAGACCATACCGGTACTGACCAATCAATGACAAACTAGAGTTGATCAGTCGTCAGTCAGTCAGTCAGTCGACCGTTGTTAGTCCCACAAAAGTGGTTTTGTACACATTATTGCGTTACTTTTAATCAAGGTTTTACCACCTCCATCACAATTGTCCCTGTTTTAAAAAGGGTACTTTCAAACGGGTAGGCCTACCTTGTTGATATAGACAACTGGATAAGACATGTGGCGGAAAAGAGGACGCAATTCACGAACCAATACAACGAGCAATAGCCCTGGCATGATGTCGGGCCAGCGAATGGTGGGGACACAAGCAAAAGCAGCCGAAAATATGGAAAAGAACCGTGAATTTTTTCACTATCCACAGGATTTTCGATTCGTTACACCCATTGAGCATTCTTTGCTGTATAGCATGGTGGACGAGGGACCAGCTCTATATCCAGAAAAGGTTGTATTGAGTCACATTAATGACGAGGACTATTCGGTATACCTTCCAATGGTAGTCATTAACGGCACTTCATCATCATGGCGGTCTTCGTTTCATGATAGCAGCGACGATGATCATCATGACTGTGAAAATGACACTCCCAATGATGAAGCTGAACAGCACGACAGGGTTTCCTATGCCCAACTAAGTGCCATCCTGTCACTATCCGCCGAAAAATATCCACCCAACGAAAAAGACGAAAAATACGAAAAAGAAAGCATTTCCCAAACGTTATGTAAACGTATACTTGGCTGTGTCGTAAAGTATGCGCAGGAGCATGATTTGGACCGTGAAGCAGAAATATCAGAGTTGCTACGTCCTGTCGAGGAGCATTCGATGAAGCGGTCCGCCAAGGCAGAATTACGGCAAGCTGTTCCATTCTATGTTGGCTATGCAGCAACACTGATAACAGCTAATCCCATCCCAATGATGATTGGTTGGTCTGTTATGGCATCGGGCAACCAGAAAGCCGAAAAGGAAATGAAGAATCTAAGTTCCATAACCAAGGAGACCAATCGTCGCTCAGATGTGGAGAAAACATCTCTCTTGGACGAGCCCGACTTTTAGTTTTTTAAAATGGTATGATACTGTGCTGCATTGGCCTCTTGTCTTACCGCCACAGTCACAGACATAATAATATTCACCTAATCCTAGCAGTTTTTCAGCGCTAATGAAATCAAAAATGCCAGATGGGGATGGAAACAACATATCATGTGTTGACCACAAGGCTCCTATAGGTAGAATGTCAAATTTGGAAAAGTTCCAACATACTTAACATGATAATGTTGGGCTCCTGACTCTCATCGTAGAGAGAGAGCGTACTAGTGCATTGATGTAGCTACTGTTGGACATGATAGACGGTGATTGATATTGCTATTGGGGTGTATTTACGGGGGTCTGAAGCAGCTGTAGATGATTGATCTTGGGCTTGAGATTGGCGACGATGTTAAAATCCTGAGACGGCTCCACAGGAGCAAGGCCTCTGGATTGGGCTTTGAATCAATAAAGGTAGTTTTATACGAAGTTGGTTGATAAGTAATCGAATTAATAAATTGATAAATTGTGAGATTATCACTACTTGAAACTACTTGGAAAGAGTTGCTGCATCGAATCTCTAAGAGAGCTAATGAGA